TTTTCCGCCCGAAGGCTTTCGATACAGGCGGGGAAGTCCGCCGGTCGCAACCCTTCTTCGCAGGCAAATAGCCCCGAGGTGGCGGCGCCCCACGGTGAAGGCTGCGGGACAAGGCGGCTTCAAGCGGCTGCTTGATGGCCGCCTTATCGACCGAGGGCGGCTGGATGCGCCGGGCCAAGGCGGCGGGCGATGCGATCATCGCCGGCAAGTCGCCAGAGGTTGCGGAAGCTGCTGGTGAGGCTGCGGGCACAGCGGCTCAAAAGGCGCTGGATGCCGGCCTCTCGCCGGACGCAGTCGATGCGGCTGGCGAGGCGGCAGGCGAGGCTATCCTTGCGGGCAAGAGCCCCGAGGTTGCGGCCGCCGCTGGCGAGGCTGCCGGCAAGGCGGCTCAGAAGGCGCTCGACGACGGCTTGTCACCGGATGCTGCCGATGCGGCGGGCAAGGTGGCGGGCGACGCCATCATCGCAGGCTACACGCCCGAGCAGGCAGCGGCGGCCGGCGAGGCGGCGGGCAAGGCGGCCCAGAAGGCGCTCGATGCCGGCCTGTCGCCGGAAGCGGCTGATGCGGCTGGCGAGGCGGCAGGCGAGGCTGTCCTCGCTGGCAAGTCGCCCGAGGAGGCGGCTGCTGCGGGCGAGGCTGCCGGCACGGCGGCCCAGAAGGCGCTCGACGACGGTTTGTCGCCCGAGGCAGCTGCGGCCGCGGGTGAGGCGGCGGGTGACGCCATCATCGCCGGCAAGAGCCCCGAGGTGGCGGCCGCTGCTGGAGAGGCTGCCGGCAAGGCGGCCCAGGCTGCGCTCGACGCCGGCCTGTCGACAGAGGCGGCGGATGCGGCTGGTGAGGCGGCAGGCAAGGCTATCATCGCAGGCAAGTCGCCCGAGGTGGCTGCGGCCGCTGGCGACGCTGCCGGCAAGGCGGCCCAGAAGGCGCTCGACGATGGCTTGTCGCCCGAGGCTGTCGATGCGGCGGGCGAGTCGGCGGGCGACGCCATCATCGCCGGCAAGAGCGCCGAGGTGGCGGCGGCCGCGGGTGAGGCTGCGGGCAAGGCGGCTCAAGCGGCGCTCGACGCCGGCCTATCGACCGAGGCGGCGGATGCGG